CAGCCGACCTCTCCTTTCTTGCCTGCTGCTCCCCTCAGCCATGTATTTCAGTATGTCTGCTTGTTCGGCTCCCAAACACACACACCCCTCACCTCTGGCCTACACCCCAACTCTTATATGCATAGATAAGTATTTTTTTAAGCAACCACTTGACAAAATTCAAGATCCATTCGTTATTAAACACTGAACAAAGAGGCATAGAGGGAAGACACATCAGTACAAGAATAAAGGACTTATGTAATGAGCCCCCAGTTAACACCATACTCAACAGTAAAAAGTAAAAATGAGATTAGATACAAGGCAATGATGCTCACTCTTGCCACTTTTATTCAATATAGTACTAGAAGTTCTAGTTAAAATTAACAGTTAAGCAGAATAAATAAAAGCACCTAAATTGGAAAGAAATAAAACTGTTACTATTTGCAAATGGTATACTATATGGAAAACACTAAATATTCTACCAAAAAATGCTGTTAGAAATAAAGAACAAATTCATCAAAGTTGCAAGGTAAACTAATTTGCCAAAATGTGTTGCACTTCTGAGCACTATAGTGAACTATAAAAAGAGAAATTAAGAGGGTCCTCCCAGGTGGCGCAATGGATTAAAGCACACCACTATGAAGCTCTCTAAAGCCACTGCAACATGAGTTCGATCCTAGGCCAGTGAGGTGACCCATATGACATGGCAGACCTTTCCTGACTCACCCACTGCTCCCCCTCAGCAGTGTATTTCAGTAGATCTGCCTGCTCTGCTCCTCAGTCTATCTCTGGTAAAATCTCTCACCCCCTGCACCTCTGACCTGTACCCCAGTTCTTGTATGCATAAATAAATAAATCTTTTTAAAAAAGAGAAATTGGGCTCTTCCTGGTGGTACTACGGGTTAAAACACAACACTATGAAGCTATCAAAGCCACTGTAACACAAGTTCAATCCCTGGCCACAAGGGGTGAACCACATGGCATAGCAGATTTCTGACCCGCCTACTGTTCCCCTCAGCAATGTATTTCAGTATATCTGTCTGTTCTGCTCCCCACTCTGTCTCTGGTGAATCCTCTCACCCCCTGCACCTCTGGCCTGTACCCCAGTTTTGTATGCCTAAATAAATATTTAACATAAAAAAGAGAAATTAAGAAAAACAATCCCGCTTACAATTGCGTCAAAAAGAATAAATGTCTAGGACTAATAAGACCAAGAATGTAAACAAAAGTACATTGTAAACTAAGATACTGAGGATAGAAACTGAAGACAAAGAAGCATAAATATAGTCCCTATTTGTGGGTTGGAAGAATTTACTGCAATTAAAATGTGCATACTGCCCAAAGTAACATACAGATCCAAAGCAACCCTATCAAAATTCCAAATACATGTTTTTCACAGAAATAGAATAAACTATTATGCAACTTGTGTGAAGCCACAGCTCCAACTCCATATAAAAGAATGGAAATAGGCCTTACAAGAAAAACATCAAAAAAGACAAACAAAAAATAAATGACAATGATCACTTATGTCTCAATAAACAACTTACTGTAAATGGTCTAAATTTGCCAGTCAAAAGTGGGTGAATAGGCCCTCCCTGGTGGCGCAGCGGGTTAAAGCACAGCACCAAGAAGCTGAAGCCACTTCCGCATGAGTTCGATTCCCGCCTGCCCCGGTGGTGACCACATGGCGTGGCAGACCTCTCCTGACCCGCCCGCTGCTCCCCTCAGCAGTGTACT